GTGATGTAGGTAGCAGGATGGGAAAGCTGTGATGTAGGTAGGAGGATGGGAAAGCTGTGATGTAGGTAGCAGGATTGTTATGATGTAGTATATAGGATACTGTTACGATCACACCAAAACTTTGTGACCCCGACATTCCAGCATCAGATACATAATGTACGACCCGCATCTAAATCACAGTGCAACTTGCCAATTAGAATGAATCATTAGCGTTATTGCTGCGTGTAGCAGCTTGTGCTGCCATTAACCAGGTTTCAATATTTCATAAATGTCTGGTGCGCGAAGACTGTAGAGCGATTTCACACGGCATGCACGTGCTTGCTGAAGCCCAGGCTGCATGCACACCGCATAGAGATGTCAGAGAGGAAGGGCGTGAGAGCGAGCGAGAGCGAGAGAAAAAGAGAGAGAGCGAGAGGTGGAGAAAGAGACAGAGGGAAGAGAGAGAGAGAGCGCGTGTGTGCTTGTGTGTGTGTGTGTGTGTGCGCGCGCGCTCGCGGGTGCATGTGTGTGTGCATGTGTGCGCGTGCGTGTGCGTGTGCGTGTGTGCATGTTTGTGTGTGTGTGTGCATGTGTGCGCGTGCGTGTGCGCGTGTGTGTGTGTCTGTGTGTGTGAGGGAGAGAGAAAGAATTAGCTAGGCCCCATATTCTATAGTGCAGCTTTACAATGTGGATGGATGGTTCGACACACTATCTCCACCTTCTACTCTGACATTGATTGATTACTGACTGTGATTATTTACAGCTAATAACTAATTGGGGGAATATTGAACATCAAGGGAATTTCACTTATCACAGATTTGCAACAATGATGGATAGGAATAGTGAGAGCGCGCGTTAGTTAGAGAATGGCTGAGGGAGAGAGGGAGTGGGTGGATAGAGAATGAAGCAGGGATATAGGTCGAGACAGTGCGTGAGAGAGTTGGGAGAAGGAAGGAGGGAGGTAAGAGGGATATAGGGACAGAGTGCGAAAGCGAGTTAGGAAGTCGGTGAAGAAGGGAGAAAGAGAGAGAGAGAAGAAAGAACGAGGGAGAGAAAGAGAGAGAGAGAGAGAGAAAGAGAGAGAGAGTGAGAAAGAGAGAGAGAGAGAAAGAGAGAGAGAGAGAGAGTGGGGGGAAGATAGAGAGAGAGAGAGAACGGGAGAGACAGAAAAGGAGAGAGACCGGGAGAGAAAGAGAGAGAGGGGGGGGAGAGAGAAAGAGAGATGACACTGGACCCCTTCACTTGGTTCACGCGTGGGTCACATTCGCCTTCACACGTAATAGCTCTTGTTTAAAACCCCGCTAACGCCAGGAGTGGAGCAACTCTACGACAGGGCCGTCAGCTAGCTAAGCTAGAACAGCGAGGTAAGAATGCACACAATCATTGCCGCAGGTGTGCAGGCCGCTACTGCACCAGCCTTCTAACCGGTTCTGGGGGCGTGCCAGCTGCTGCTCGATGACAGTGGTCTCCCATAGATGACCGGTGGGGTACGGACCAGACCGGGGGAGAGCGGGGGAGGTGGGAGCACGCAGCGTGAACATGTGGGTCACGGAGGCGGGGGTGGGCCGTCATTGTATAGTGGCATTTAAATCTGTCAGTGGGGAATCGTGCGACCAACGCGCCGCATGAACGCCCCTACCGGCGACGACTACAAGCTGTAACTAAAGACTGTGTATGGGTAGTATAGATATATCACGGCTGAAGCATGCTGTACGTATACGTGCGTGCACGCTACAGCAACCAGGCTATACACACTTACTACTACCTATACCTACCTACACATCACTGCTGCATAGACTCAACTACACACACTTAATTACCACTGCTCACCTACCCACCTACCTACCTACACATCACTGCTGCATAGACTCAACTACACACACTTAATTACCACTGCTCACCTACCCACCTACCTACCTACACATCACTGCTGCATAGACACTTACCGATACATACACTTACAACAATCTACGCTTACCACTATACCATCACTTACTGCAAGATACACTTGCCACTACCATTACTTACTGCTACACACATAGTTACAGTTACTTCCACTAACAGCCATACACGCACCTACGACGATAAACATCTCCTGCTATAATATATACACGCATGTCATTGTCTACCTGCACTTACTGCTATTTACACCTCTTATCGTCATAAACATATATACGCTCATGATATGCGCAAAAACATAATATATGTTCATGCTGCTATCTGCGTTGGACCGCGGCCGCATAGCAATTCAGGGCATCATTTAGATAAATCCACGAAATCTCTCCGTTTGGAGGACCGCATATACCCCATACTCCTCCTCCTCCTTCTCCTCCTTCTCCTCCTCCTCCTCCTCCTCCTTCTCATCCTTCTCCTCCTCCTCATCCTCCTCATCCTCCCGCTGATGCACCCACTCTCGCACGGTGGCTTTTGCATAATGTTACACACGTACGTGGGACTGCGATCTAGGAATGCAGTGGCGCTACACTGTCACGTCTAGCCAAACAGCCGCGAGTCATACACACATCCTACTGCATGCACATAGACGCATGGGGCACGTGGGCTACGAAGGAGCAGCAGCCGTATGTTAGGAGAGCATAACATAGAGATGAGCATATTATGGAGCATGATATCAAAGGTGAATTAAAAGCTTGATTTTATTCACTCCTGATAACATAAAGGTGCGCATAACATAGCATAACATCAGGG